TTTTTTTTTTTAAAGATTTTATTTATTTATTTGAGAGAGAGAGAATGAGAAAGAGAGCACATGAGATGGGGGAGGGTCTGAGGGAGAAGCAGACTCCCTGCCGAGCAGGGAGCCCGATGTGGGACTTGATCCCAGGACTCCAGGATCATGACCTGAGCCGAAGGCAGTCGCGTAACCAACTGAGCCACCCAGGCGCCCTGTTTTATTAAAGTCTTTTTAATTTTCATCTGTACAGTTACATTCTATCCTTTCAATGTATTTAATTTTATTTTTGTATGTATATGTTTTTCTTTCTTTACAATTTTGAGATGTAGTTTCTTTTAACAAACTGACCAAAATATACTCAGGAGATAGTGTACTGTTCTGCTCTGTTCACCTGCTTGTTTACATCCCTTCCTTTTTTGTTGTTTTTTTTTCTTTTGTTTTTTCTTGTCTTTTAATTTCCATTTTTACAGTTACATTCCATCCTTTCATTGTATTTAACTATATTTTTATACATATATGAGTTTTTCTTTCTTTACAATTTTAGGATCTAGTTTTCTAATAGACCAAAATACACACAGGGTCCAGTATATTGCTCTGTTCTGTTCACCTGTCTTGATTATATTCTCTCTCTTTCTCTCTTTTTTGGTTTCAGGTCTCTTCTGGTTTGTTTAGTGTATATTTTAGTGTTTAGTGTATATCTGGGGTCGTTGTTGCCATTTTAATATTTTGTTCTCTTGTTCATCTATTCTTCTCTGGACAAGATGAAAAAACTCACCTCAAAAAAGAGAACAAGAGGCAGTATTGACTGCCAGGGACCTAATCAGTATGGACATAAGTAAGATGTTGGAACTAGAGTTCAGAATAACGATTACAAAGATACTAGCTAGGCTTGAGAAAAGCAGAGAAGACACTAGAGAGTCCCTTTCTGGAGAAATAAAAGAACAACCTACAAGGGTAGAAATATTAGATTGGCAGCAGACCTATCCACAGAGACCTGGCAAGCCAGAGAGGACTGGCAAGACATATTCAGGGTGCTAGATGAGAAAAATATGCAGCTAAGAATACTTTATCCAGCTAGGATGTTATTCAAAATAGAAGGAGTGATAAAAGCTGCCAGGACAAAAAGAAACTAAAAGAATTTGTGATCACTAAACCAGCCCTGCAAGAAATAAAAAAAGGCATCCTATAAGTGAAGAGAGAGCCCAAAAATAACAGACCGGAAAGGAACAGAGACAACCTACAGAAACAGTGACTTTACAGGTAATATAATGGCACTAAATTCATATCTTTCAGTAGTTACTCTGAATGTAAATGAGCCAATCAAAATGCCCCAATCAAAAGACACAGGGTATCAGATTGGATAAAAAAGCAAGACTCATCCATATGCTGTCTGCAAGAGACTCATTTTAGATCCAAAGACATCTCCAGATTGAAAGTGAGGGGGTGGAGAACCATTTATCATGCTAATGGACTTCAAAAGAAAGCTGGGTGGCAATCCTTCTATAAGAGAGATTAGATCTTAAACCAAAGACTGTAATAAAAGATGAGGAAGGATACTATATCATAATTAAAGAGTCTATACAACAAAAATATCTAACAATTATAAATATTTATGCCCCTAACATGGGAGCAGCCAATTATATACACCAATTAATAACAAAATTAAAGAAACACAATGATAATAATACAATAATAGTAGGGGACGTTAACACCCCACTCACTGCAATGGACAGATAATCTAACCAGAAGATCAATAAGGAAATAAGGGCTTTGAATGACACACTAGACCAGATGGACTTCACAGATATATTCAGAGCATTCCATCCTAAAGTAACAAAATACACATTCTTCTCTAGTGCCCATGGAACATTCTCCAGAATAGATCACATACTGAGTCACAAATCAGGTCTCAACCGGTACCAAAAGACTGGGATTATTCCCTGCATATTTTCAGACCAAAATGCTTTGAAACTTGAACTCAATCACAAGAGGAAAGTTGGAAAGAACTCAAATACATGGAGACTAAAGAGCATCCTACTAAAGAATAGAATGGGTCAACCAGGTAATTAAAGAAGAATTAAAAAAATTCATGGAAACTAATGAAAATGAAAACACAACCATTCAAAACCTTTCGGATGCAGCAAAGTTGGTCCTAAGAAGGAAAAACATAGCAATACAAGCCTTTCTCAAAAAATGAGAAAAGTCTCAAACACAAGCTAAACATACACCTAAAGGAGCTGGAGAAAGAACAGCAAATAAAGCCTAAACCCATCATGAGATGAGAAATCATAAAGATTAGAACAGAAATCAATGAAATAGAAACCAAAAGAACAGTAGAACAGATCAAACGAAACTAGGAGCTGATTCTTTGAGAGAATTAATAAGATTGATAAACTCCTGGCCAGACTTATCAAAAAGAAAAGAGAAAGGACCCAAATTAATAAAATCATGAATGAAAGAGGAGAGATCATAACCAACACCAAAGAAATACAAACAATTATAAGAACATATTATGAGCAACTATATGCCAACAAACCAGGCAATCTGGAAGAAATGGATGCTTTCCTAGAGACATATAAACCACCAAAACTGAAACAGGAAGACATAGAAAATCTGAACAGACCCATAACCAGAAAGGAAATTGAAGCAGTAATCAAAAATCTCCCAAGAAACAAGAGCCCAGGGCCAGATGGCTTCCCAGGCAATTCTACCAAACATTTAAAGAAGAAATCATACCTATTCTTCTGAAGCTGTTTCAAAAAATAGAAATAGAAGGAAAACTTTCAGACTCTTTCTATGAGGCCAGCATTACCTTGATCCCAAAACCAGACAAAGACCCCCCCAAAAAGGATAATTACAGACCAATATCCCTAATGAACATGGATGAAAAAATGCTCACCTTACAGCATTCATAAAAATAGACTCAAAATGGATGAAAGACCTAAATGTGAGATAGGAATCCATCAAAATCCTAGAGGAGAACACAGGCAGCAACCTCTTCGACCTGGGCTGCAGCAACTTCTGGCTAGACACATCTCCAAAGGCAAGGGATACTAAAGCAAAAAGGAACTATTGGGACTTCATCAAAATAAAAAGCATTTGCACAGCAAAGGAAACAGTTGACAAAACCAAAAGACAACCAACAGAATGGGAGAAGATATTTGCAAATGACATATCAGATTAAGGGCTAGTATCTAAGATCTATAAAGAACTTATCAAACTCAACACCAAAAGAACAAATAATCCAATCAAGAAATGGGCAGAAGACATGAACAGACATTTCTCCAAAGAAGACATACAAAGGGCCAACAGACACATGAAAAATGCTCCACATCCCTTGGCATCACAGAAATACAAATCAAAACCACAATGAAATACCACCTCATACCAGTCAGAATGGCTAAAATTAACAAGACAGTAAACAAATGTTGGTGAGGATGCAGAGAAAGGAGAACGCTCCTACAC